AGCACCTGCCTTGACCTGCACTGCACAATTGTAATAGTGCCGCTTACGATTGCATTGCATTGGCTTTTTGCCTGCTGAGCAATATCACTGGTCCCTATCAGTCTTTCAGACACCAAAAACCACTGTCAAACCAAGCCTTTCTGACCTGTATTTATGTGATTTGTTTTGGGGGGCTTGAATACTTTTATAACTATTAAACTAAATTATTGGTTTGGGACCTTTATTCCAGTCTATTGCAATACATTTTATTCTGGTTTTATTATTCAGTCTTTCCTAATTTTGTGTCATGTGTGAGCTTTGATAAATGTTGTATTTTTGTTGAAGGGATCAATAAAAATGTTATCCAAACAGATCTAAGGACAGAGCCCTATGGGAAACCATTAGAAACCTCCATCTAACAAATGATCTCTACTTGGATGTTTGATTTATGACCTCCTAACTCTGTTATCATTATCCCTGCCTTTTTCATAAAGATATCATGCTAAAATCAATAGATGTTTTTTCTATTTCTTGTGGGTAAATATAGTTGATCTGGAATTATATCCTCTTAGAGAGAGAAAACTAGTAGCTTTGTAACAAGGGGATTGTAACCCAACCCACATTCTTTTAACATTATTTCTGTACATGCTGACTCTGAGTAATATAGCTTGTGGATAAACAGCATGTTTGTTTAAGAATCTAGGAACTAACTTTAGAAGATACAGACTCTGACCTTCAGTCATCTCAGCTCTAACAGAATTGCTGACCTTCAACAGTAAAACCAGATAACGAAGACCAGGATGACCCACACCAAACCAGTTGCAAGATCCTTATTGAAATGGTCTGTGCTGCTCTGCACATAGAGAACTTTTCAACCTCCTCCCCTTGATCTCTTTGTTCTGTTTTCCCTCTCCCTCCTTATAAAAACCTCATCCTACACTGAGGTGGGGAGATGGGCTTTGGACAAGAGTCCCCCATCTTCTCAAGTGGCCAACACTTGAATAAACCTCTTTCCTTTTTACCAGCACATGTCTCACAATTTTGACTTTCATTGTGGCAGGCAGCTGAACCTGGGTTTCTGTTACAGTTTTGCATAACAACAGGGTATGATATGGTGCTTAGAGCCTACCACCATGTTCCAGAGCTCAAGGGATAGCTGCATGGATTTACCAGAGTTTTTTGTTTGTCTGTGTGTTTTGGTTGGTTGGTTGGTTGGTTGGTTTTTAATAGAGTTGATGGATCATAATATGGAAGGGAACCTGAACTAGAAGCAGCTGGGACCAGACAGTTGGGTGTTGCACATGTGGTAAACAAATTCCATTAAAATTTCCTCTTCTTTTCTGTTGAAGATCATGTTTGAATCTAGTGCTTGAGACACACAGCCCAGGTCATTACACACAGCCGTTACTTGCAAAGTTTTTCCAAAGACTGCCTCTGAAATCTCCCATAAGAAACTGCACAGGGAGTGAGCCTCCCTGGAGGGGCCTGTAACTCTACATAAAGGAAAGGAAGAGGGGTTAGGTGTGGGTTTTTGACTCAATATGGGACTCAGAAAAGTGAAAGGCCTGGGGAAAATAAAGAACTCTTTTTGGCCTTGAAACCCCTCTTTTGACAGCCTACTCCCTCAAGAGACAGATGCATATCTGGCTTGGGGTTTACAGGACAGTGATCTGAGGTTTAACCAGAAAATGTCAATTTCCTTCCAGTCCCTCTCCCTGCAGTTTACATGCAGAGGGGAGGGGAGACAACTGGAGGAGAAATCAGGGAAACAAAAGGCAATTGGGAAGACAAAAGAAAATAAGAGGAATTTAAAATATGGGTGACCATGATCACTTTGATTCTTTATTCAAACACCCTTTTGGGGGAAATGTGTCTAACACTGACTTCCCAAGTGTCCTCAGTAGACAGAGCACAGAACCAAAAATCTGGCCCCAGTTGTATTAAGCCCTTTAGACCTGAGTTCCCTGCTCTGTAAAGTGAGGGCTGTGAGGTACCAACTAAGGGAGCTCTGGGACCTTCTCAAACGCTAACAGTTTAGGCACTGGAGTGTCCCACCCTGAAGGGTCGAGAAAATTGTAGCAATCTGGAGGTTGCAGAAGTCAGGGTCAGATACCAAAATACTTCTACCCACACCCATCTGCACCCCTGAAACATCCTGAAGCCGGGAGGGCAAAGCATCGTCTGCCCTGAGTGTAGGGTTCCAGAGAAGGCCGCACGGTGGACCAGAGAATTTCCCAAGGCAGCTGTCTACGAACTGGAGGCTGACTTGTCAAATCCCAAATCTAGGTAGTCAACGCTGAAGAAAGGTTTTTCGGAAGCCGCCACCTCCAATTCTGAAATAATCCCGCTTCAGATTGGGGCTGGGCTGAGACAGGGGCAAACCTCAAACCCTGGCAGCAAAAGGAGGACATGGGCAAGGAAGGCGAAGATCAGTTTCACAGCCCGGTTCTCAGCAGTAAGGACAAACCGGGAAATGAAGGAAGGAAACCCAGAATGCACCAGGAGCAGGGAAGAATGGGTGTTATTGCTGCATTTCCAGGGCCAGGCTGTACTCTTTGTTTTGGCACACTTTTCCTGACAAAAAGCCAATGTTCTCACCACAAAAATACTCTCGACATTAGTAACAACAGCATATGAGACCACCATCTGTAAAGATGCCAGATTGCATGCAAATGGGCTGGAAATACTTTGGAGAATTTCACAAAAATAAGACACTGGGCAATTAAACTCTGGCAGAGGAGATCAGAAGCGAATTCTCTGAAGACGGTGGGAGGAAGGACACAAACAGCTCATACACACAAGCCTGTTAAAATGGGACACGTTCGCCTCAAGCCCACTGAGTATCTGCTGTTCTGCCTCACGCCCTTCCCGGAAAAGCAGCTTTTGAAGGCTGTTTCCCAGGGGCCCTGCGTCCTGGGGGCTGATGCCTGAGGTTTCAGCGCCATCAAGTGGAAGCATGCGGTATGGCAGCTATGGACGTCCTCTCCACCTATAGCGAGAGGAAGAAGTGAGATGCGGTCTATTTCTCATCCGACAATGAAAAATGAGAGAAAGGTTGTGAACTTCATTTTACTGTCATCCATTTAGTTCAAAGGAGATGCCACTTTGGTTTTCAGGCATTAATCAACTGGCTTTGCTCGAGGACCAGGCTGGGCTAAATGTGCACATTCTATTTCAGCCCAGGTGGAGATGGAGACGTACAAGAACCACCGAGAAACCTTGTTCTCCAACATCACAGTGATTGTCAGAGGCCAAAACCTCCAGCCCCCAAAAGGTTCCTATTTTAACAACAGAGTCTGATTATGTGCAGAAGACGTGACACCTAAAGACAGGTTAGCAGCGCGGGGATGACCAGTGTGGTTGAATGGGAAGATTTCTACTGCCTTTTAAGAACAAAAACTCAGCAGAACAATGGCCTACTTGTCCAAAAACTGGCCACCTCTTTATTTCCTAGGGAAGAAACTAATTTCCACCCTGGCCAGCTGGCTCGGTTGGTTGTAGCATTGTCCCATACACCAAAAGAGTATGGGTTCAATTCCTGGTCAGGGCACATACCTAGGTTGCAGGTTCAATCCCCAGTCAGGGTGTATATGGGAGACAACCAATTGATGTTTCTCTCTCACATCAATGTTTCTCTCTCTCTCTCTCTCTCTCTCTCTCTCTCTCTCTTCAATAAAAACATATTCTTGGGTAACGAAAGAAAAGAAACCGATTTCCGATGACAGGTCCCTTTTGGTGTCCTCTCCTGCTCTGGAAGAGGCTGGCTGAGGAGGCAGTCGGGGATACAAGGCCTGGCGCCTCTTTTCTCTGACGAGAAAGCAGCTCCAGGGTACTCTGTTGCTCTGCCTTTCACTCAGCCCCTTTGCTTGGGTGGCAGGCCAGAGACCGAAGGAAAGAAAAGAGGGAAGGAAATGTGTTTCCTGGATCCCTACGCAGTGTCAAAACAATATATGTGAAACTATATTGTTTTTTCCTCACTGGGTTATGCCCTCTTTGGAAAGACTAGAACAATATGGAAGGATATAAATCACAATTTATAATTCCCCTTTCAGTACAGAATTTGGCCGATGTTGATGCAAAGACATTGAGAAACAACCAACCGAATCTCTGTGGAATGTAAATAGCCCTAATTCAATGTGTCATTCCCTCGCCTCTGATTTCCCCTCACCTCTTTCCACACCAGTTGTCCTTTTTGATGAAAAGCCGAGCATCAGGCTCTTGGGAGGTAACTCCCTAACTCAGCTACATTCCGTGTCTGTGTATAAGGATTTGCGCTGTTGTCCACTGAAGAGCGATTTCCTATTGCCCTGCCCCACAGAGTTGTTTCGGGGACTAAGTAAATAATAATTGTTAGGTACCATGTCCTTTCTGAGAGATATTATGAACCAATTCTGTCAAATAAGGGAGATAGATTTATTTCCTCCTACAATTAAACTTCAGGTGAATCATCAAACTGGCTTTAAGGTCTCCTTCCTGTGTTACCTGGGCTGCCAAACCCCATTCCAAGTTGGCCAGTCCTCCACCTTCCTGGAGCAAAACCTCGGGTCAGAGCCCTTCCTGGCTCCTCTCCCACCCTTGCGACTCACCTCAAACATGGGGGTAAACACACTGGTCTTAGACACAGACATGTGAAGAACGTCAAGTCCACACCCAGTGCACCCAAACCTTGAACTTCAGCTCCAATGTGACTAATGTCCACTCATCCTGCAGGTGCCACAGAGGAAGAGTTGCCACCACATCTTTATTGCATCTCCAGGTAAAGAACAATGAATAACTTATTGTACAAGGAACACTCCTCCTCCGTGGACAAGGCTGCTAAGAGAACGCAGGAGGTGAACACAGTGCAAGGCTAGTCACAGAGGCTGGGATCGGATCCGTGCCAGGAATTAAAAGGAAGAACAGTCCGCAGGTGCTCCTGGCAGAGAGCAATGGGGCTTGCCCACACCAGTGAGGTCCAGGAGGAAAACTTGTCGTAAAACACGGAGGGGAGATTAGTCGCGGGGGGGGGGGGCAGACAGCAAGCTTGGGAGTGATACAAGGTACAAGGGGGGAGCTGAGTTGGTGCCAGGGACCCACAGAAGCCCTGTGTTAGGCAGCACCACAGAGATGAGTAAATTTAGGGTGATCTTTAGCCTCTCCTACCCAGGTAAGAAGGGAGGGTGCCAGGAAGTTGGCTTCCAGTGTAGATTTCGGCAGGGTGGGGCTGAGAGACAGGCCTTTGCAATTTTTGCTCAGATTTGTAGGTCTTCTCTGGGCTGAGCAATCCTTACATAACCAGCGTTGAATATTGGCTCCTGGAGTTGAATGAGCCAGGACAGTTAGATGACCAGAGCCCTGGTCACATATAAAGTGACAGGAGAGTGAGAGGGAACCCTGAGTTGCTGAGACCCCCGCCTAGAAGAAGCATCCTAAGTATGGGACAAGGGGAAACCACGGTGCTGCTGAGACAGAGCCTCGTGAGCCCCAGCAACTCCGGGACAGAAGAACGGGTGCTGAGGCTGGCGGGGAGGCCGGTCTTCCCACCACGGCTCATATGGTTTCTTTGGAAGCCTCAGGATTGAGCCCACATCCCGCAAACTCCCCGTTAGTTCTGCGGATTTGTGCACACCCCATCTTCAGAACAGCTAGCTGCCGTTTTTTCTTCCTTCATAGTCATTGTAAGGGCTAACCCGAGTCTGGGCCCGTGGAATGGAGAAATCCTTCTGGGGGGTCCGATTCTGCAAAGGAAGCACCGTATTATTAAACTCTCTCCCATTCCTGGATATTTCAACAGAATTTCAATCTGGGCAGGAATCTCGTGTTCTTCCCCGTCTCCTAGACCCTCTCCCTAAAGTCCTCCCTGTGCCCTACACTCGTCCTCTGCCCTGACCCCAGCACGTGTGCGGCAGCGAAGTAGACATGTCATCCTTTCAAGGTGGCCATTTAGGGGCCATCGGAATGGTAGCACCATCTATTCCCAAGGGACCAAGTTCCTGGGATGCCAAGGCTGCTGATGAAAAAGGAGAGTTTACCTGCATCTGAAAGTGGGTGGTATAAGGAGCATAGACCGTATCACCTAGCTCTTCAAGGCCTGGAACAGAGGGAGAGGAGCAATTAAGGCATTTGGGTCTCCTCCCTCGGGTACCCACCCGTGTCACCCAGTTGAGTCACCTACCAAAGCATGACTCATCATCCGCTGATGTGTCTCGCTGGTAGCCTAGACGTTTCTTGGGGGAAGAGACTGTCCTCAAGCCCAGGACCATGACTAACTACAGTATATGGAAACACCTTTCCAAAACCTCACCAGAGCCCACCTCCTCCCAGGACCATTTCAAAAACACATTTGAAAACAGTCTTTTCAGATACAGATCTGGCTAGAGGTGCACCGTGAGTGACCCTCACTGAGGTTTACCTACTTCCTTCACCGCTCAGCCAGGGGGACAATTTTTTATTTTCATGAAAACGGGTCGGAATAGATGAGCAATTGTTTTCTATGGATTTGGGGAATATTCAGAAGGATTTACACTCAGGAACAAAAGAGTAAACACATAAACGATCGTCATGAATACAATTTAAAGTAATCCACTAATTCCTGCCAAATGTTCAAGTTACTCAATAAATGCCTGAACACCTTCTATATGGATGTTGTGAAGAACATGAGGATTAGCCAGAACGACTCCTGCCCTGCGGCTGACTCTGGAGAGTAGGGAATGCATGACAGCCACACACACAGCCACGGCATGAGAGGCTGACGGAGAGCAGCCGGCCCCACCGATGGGCAGGCGCAGTGAAGACCCACAAAGCTTGGGGAATGGGTGACTCCGGACAAGGGCAAGAGTAAGGAAGGGCTGGCAGGCAGAGAGCGGGCAGTCTGTGAGCCTGACACAGAGGCTGGAAAGTGACTTGTTGGTTTGGGCTGAGCACAGCGTCCGCGGCCGTTGGGTTCTGGCTATGACAAGCCTCACTAAGGATTTGCTCAAAGCAGTGGGTACTGGGGAGCTGGTTAGGTAGGTGACCAGTAAAGTGTGGTGGCCAGGGGAGTATCTGAGAGAGTAAGCTGATAGTGGCCCATAAAATGAGTGCGGAGAAGGGTGCAAGGAAGGAAGACCAGCTAGGGAATGATAACAGGGAATCTCGTCGGTGAGGACAGCGAAGCCATGGACATGGACAGGAGGGGATGGGTGTGGAAACCCCCCCTCGGGCCCTTCCCTTCCCCTTCAGGCTTCTAAGTGCCCAGGAGAGGGACCCCAGCTGCAGGGAGAAGCACCAGGAAGCTTTGCACTCGCTTCAAGAGCAGAGAAATTGTTAGCAGCAGCCAAGAACCTGGCCTTGGAGGCCCTTCACTCCTATCCTAAATCCATCCCCCTCCCTGATTAGGCTCAGAGATCGACACAAACCCTGGAGACCAACAGACAGATCCCCACGGGCAGTGTCTGGCTCTCAGTTTAGCCCCCTTTAGTTGCGAGAACAACAGAACACCTGGCTTCTCAGAACTCCAGAGCAAAATCGTCCGTTCTCTGTGTCAGATATGACCTCTTCCCTCCATGGGCCCAACACATGCAGTCCAAAGCAGCCCTTCGGTTAAATCGGAATCCTGAGTAACTTTATGGAGATTATTGCTGGTTTATGATAAAAGGGCTTTCGACCCACTCTGTGCTCTGTGCTCACTGCAGGAAATCATGGCTTGGCTTATGCGCTCACATATATGAAAGCCCCACATTTCCAAAAGGGATAACTAGTTATCCCTTATAAAGAGCACTAGCTCACCTACTTGTCTCTAAACATTTTTCCAGGCATTCCTTTGCTTCATCTTTTCTTCGATTCAGAGAAACCTACACAGTATTGTGTAGAAAGTACTGGATTACAGCTCCAGAGACCAGCTTCTAGTTCTATGTTGTTAACTAGCTGGGTGATTTAAGCAGGACCTGAGCCTTGGGGACCTTACCTGTTCGGTCAGAGGCATGAGCTAGATAGACTTGCATGTGCCTTAGTTATAATACCCTATGATTCTCTCCCATCGTTCTATAAGGGACTCTCCACCCAGAACGGCTCTATACCTTGAGTGATTTCTTCTTGAGTGTAGGCTCTGTTCTCCACACCATAGCTCTGCTTCATGAATTGAGGTTTACAAAAAGCATCCTCAACAGGGTAATCCATGGGGTTCTGTTGCTTTGTGAGCAGCTGAAACTCGGGTGCAACATAAACCAACAGGAAAACCCAGCCATTGGCCACCAAGGCTGAGCTGAGGATGGTGTCATCCCACATGGGGTCGGGGGTAGGGATCAAGAGCAAAGTGATCCATGCCACCCAGATGGCAATGGAGAGGAGCGTGGTGAGGTAGATGTGGGCCCCATGTCTCTTCCAGCCAGTGAAGGACCCACAGAAGGTGAAGCAGGATGTGAGGAAGGTCAGCGCCATCAAGAAGAAGACAAAGATGAGCAGCATGACGAAGTCTTCATTGCGCCGAGGAGGAGAAAGCTCAGCGAAGATTTCAGTGTTGGTTCTGTTCATGGTGAGGATGAGATATTCCACAGCGATGATGTCCTGCACCAGGCTGAAGCCCACAGCCAGGCCCAGCATCACCAGCATGGAGAGGGGCTTCCTGCCGCGGACCAGCTGCGTCAAGTTGAAAGCGTGAACCAGGAGGCAGGAGAAGCAGAGGGAGAAGAGGACGCCAAAGAGGAAGAAGCGTGTGGGCCCCGTGCTCCTGTCCAGTTTGATGATGAAGGCAAAGGTGAGGCCGAACACCCCCAGCACACTCAGGAGGAAGAGGAACTGGACCGGGAGCAGCTTCCGCTTGTTGGAGTCTTGCACCTTGCAGATGAGGACCAGGAGAGCGAGCATGAAGGCCACTGAGGTCACAGCCCCAACCGCGGCCACTGCTTCCAAGACGATGCCCCAAACTACACCCGTATCACAAAGTCTGTGGTACCTGGGGTCCAGGTCACCACGGCAACTTGTCGGGGTCGTGGCCATTTGGTCCTGCATAAAAGCAAATTGGGGGCAGAGGGTGAATGTCCTAACACACTCAGGCACAGAGGACCAAGAGAGATTCAGAAAAGACGTTGTATGTTCAGCCAAGGTTTTGCCATGAACTTACTACATCAGATAAAGCTACTAACCTTTCTCCACCTCTCGGGCCAAATCCTAAAGGCTGATGAAGGGAAGGAACACATCTCATACGTCCTTCCCCACAACATATTAATATGTACCCTGAAGCTGGAGGACCCAGTGCTCTGCTGAGGGGTTTCAGAGTCTCAGTTCAAAAAATATGTCACACCCTGGCCAGTGGTTAGCACATTGGCCCACACACCACCAAAGGGTCATGGGTTCAATTCCCAGTCAAGGGCACATACTTGGATTGCAGGTTCAATCCCCAGCTCCGGTCAGGGTGTGTGCAGGAGGTAGCCAATCAATGTGTCCCTCTCACATCAATGGTTCTCTCTCTGTCTCCCTCCCTCCCTTCCATTCTGTCTAAAAATCAATGGAAAAATTATCCTCGGGTGAGGATTAACCAACAAATATAGATATGTCACAAATAACTTCCAAAAAAAAATAATAATAACTTCCAGTGTTCCTGAAATTTTTGGCTAGTGTTTTCTTAGGAATTGGTGAACATGGAAGCACCTGTCTCAGGCATTGTTTGTGAGCATCCCATTCTCTCAGGAGTAAAAGGAGTTATCTGTACAGAAAGGAGACTTCTCTACAGATCAGAGCCACTAGACTCTTCTTCAGAGTAGAAGGCCTTTTCCTTCTTGGGTTTGCAAGGATGGCTCTACTGTTCCGAAAAGTGGGGAAGGAGTCTGCCCTGTCAGAATGAGCTCTTAATTACATACACAATACAACACACATTCATAGATGAATGAATATTAAGTATACATTAGAATATTATATTAGTGATATGCTAGAAAAAAATAAGTTAAATAAAATAAATAATTTACATAATGTATAGCTTAAATCTATCTTCCTAATTGGCCCTCCAAGTTTAACTTTGTGTTACATAGTCATTCCATCAACCAATATTCATTGAACGCCACTCGGTGCCAATCACTATTCTAGATACTCAATGGAAAAGGGGAAAACAAACATGTTCTCACCCACAGTAGACGAGAGACACAGACATAATTGACCATGGCTGCCCCAGGCTTCCCTGGGCCTTCCCTCCCCAGGGGTCTGTCCCCTGCATGCTACCCCACAGGAACCACACCACAGTCAGCCCTACCACATGCAGAGCACGGAACACGGGTCAGGTCCCACCTCTCCAGGGCACTGAATGAGAAACAGGAGGAAGAACAAAGGCAAATGAGCTGCAGATACAGGCAGCCTCTGAAATGCAGGTGCCCAAAGCCTGGCACGCTTTGCCTACAAATGCCCACTCTGGGGTGCTGTGGGAAGGGAGGTGTGCAGGCTGCTCCCTTGTGTATGCCATGGTTACTGGAGAGGCAGAACCCTGCCCAACGGAGGGCAGCACAAACAAGGGAAGGGATGCGGCCAGCCCGCACTCACCTTCACCTCTGCCCTTCACTCCCTCAGATGACTCATCAGGGCGGTGCCTGGATGGAAGGGTACTTCTCTCACCATCCCTGCCCTTCCCACTGTTCCTTCCCCACCCCTCAAAGTCGCGCTGTTTGTTGACCAGTGACTGTTAGCATAACTACCTGATCATTAATTATGAAGGACTTTGAACCTGATGACTGTGAATCTGGACAGTGACTGCTGAGGTTTTGCCTAGAGGAGAGCTCTGGACAGAAGGACAGTGAGGCAGAGACCTCCCGCCCCCCACTCCGATCTCTGGGCCCCTCACTGGGGTGCAGCTGTGCAGGAGGAGTGTCTCCAGGCCTCCTGACACCCACAGACCAGAGGCCAAAAAGAGCGATGAGCAGTGGGTGTGGAGTGGGGAGTGGGGAGACATGGTTTTTCTCTGGTTTCCCCTCCACCTCCCACCCCAGTCACACCAGGGTGATGGGGAAACAGTCCCTGAGCTGCCTCTGACACCGTGGGCTGTTTGAAATGTTCGAGTGAATATAGACATATTCAAGCATACTCAAAAATAAATAGTATAATGAAGGCCATGTCCTTATCACATAGTTTCAAAAATTATCAATGTACAGTCGATCTTGCTTCATTAATTCACATCCCCACCCCACTCACTAGATTGTTTTTACGCAAACCCCAGACATCAGATCATTTTATCCATAAATACACGCATATATATAACAAAAAACCTTTTTCAATGTAGCCATATTTTAAAAATTAACAACCTTTTTCAATGTAGCCATATTTTAAAAATTAACAATAATCCTTTGATATCAAATATCTAGTTAGGGTTTATATTTCCCAGTTCTCTCAGAAATATCTTTTTTTTTTTCTTATGTTTTAATTATTGATTGTAGAGAGAGAGGAAGGGAGAGGGAGAGAGAGAGAAACATCCATGTGAGAGGGTCACATCGACTGGCCGCCCCCTGCAGCCCCGCCCCCCTGGGGATAAAGCCCGAAACTTGGGCATGTGCCCTGACCGGAATCAAACCAGCGACCTTTCGATGCACCGGACAATGCTCATCCAACTGAATCACGCCGGTCAGGGCTCAGAAATGCTTTTTAAAAACCTTTTGGTAAGCATTTTTCAAGTGAGTGACTAATTTTTTGAACTAATTATCCTTCTTAATTGACCTGTATTAGGCCTCCCCCGCCCCTTCCCCAGCTTGACGGGGATCACACAGCAGGTCTAAGCTTCCTGGGACTTTCAGTGTAGGCAGACTCATTCTCGAGCCGAGAAGGTCCCTGTCGCCCAGGGAATGGCCCAGATGAGGAAGAAACACCAGGAAGGTGGCTGGGAGAGCACAGGCTTCTGGGCAGCCGAAAGGGACTTCCAGAAAGCAGGTGTGAGGAAGAACAGGGAAGCAGTCGGCATTGGAAATGTGAACCGCCAGGAGCTCAAGATGTGTCCCTGGAGAAGAACAGGGGGCTGGAGCAAGCAGAGAAATGTAGAGTCCGGCAGTTACGTGGACATGGTTTGTAACCAAAGTTGAGAGACCTCGAGTCCCACCAAGAATGGACTTGCTCCATTGAGGACCAGCTGGGGGTGGAGAGAAACCATTTACTCTTGGGCTGCCTGAAGGGGAGGGAGGGTCTCATCTCATTCACACTGGAAATCAGGCCTGGTTTCATGCACAGTACTCCCTGAACCCTCACAACCACCCTATGATACAGCTCACGGGCTTCTTCTCCCTGCCCCACAAGTGCAGAACTGAGGCACAGGTTAGCTGACTCACCGAGCCACACAGCGAGTAGGTGGAAGGGCCAGGATTCAAACCAGACCCTCGCTTCAGTGTTGCATAGCTCACGCAACACTGCACAGCCCCTTGTCTGTAACAACGTGAAAGCCAGGAGGGGCCCGCCAGGTAGAAACGGGGTGAGGACACCAGCCTGGGCGCTGCTTTAGGCTCTGAGCATGGGTTAGACCGCCGAGGGCCCCGCCGCCCCTGGTGAGTTGCCCCAGCTGTTCAGAGTTCTGCCTACACGGTAAAGCACCGACTTTCGCACCCTGGCCGTGTGCTCCACTGAAGAAGTCAGGGCTGGAAAGGGCGTCCTGTAAGGAAGACGCGAAAGTGGGGCAGGAGGCACCCCAGGGTCTCCCCATCCGTGAACCCCAGGCATGGCGCTAACAGCAAGTTAACAGCGTACCACTGAGTTGGGAAATGGCCGAAGTCTCTGTCCCACATTAACAAACCCATCATCACGTCCCAGCACTTCCACCTCTTCCATGTCTCTTGCCTGTGTCACCCACCACCCTCCCCACCTGGACCACCTCCGAAGCTGACCTCTGTCCGCAGGCTCGCCACCTCCGAGCCACTCTATTTCGACAAGGAACGAGCCGTAACCCTGCACAGCAGTGGAAGGCTTTGCATCCACAGCCTCCCCAGTCTCATGCCCTGTCACCACACCCTCCTCCTCATCCCCAGGATGCAGATTTCTTGTCACTCCTCCAAACAAGCCTTGCTACCTCACTTCAAGCATGCTGTCCCACCGGCGTGGGACATTCTCCCTGCTTCTCCATCCCCTCCATTTGACTGAGAGGCCCCTCTTCTGGGGTGCTTCCCTTGATGTCCACGTATGTGAGACACACCTCCTCTGACTCCCAGGGAGCCTCCATGTTTCCTGCCACAGCCCTTGACACGTAGCCCTGTCATGCCCGTCGACAGTCTGCATCTCCCTCCAGACAAAGGTCCTGTAGAGGTGGGGGTGCTCACTGCCTCTGCCAGCCTCCAGCCTAGCACCTGACTGTGGTGAGTGCCCTCCAGGGCGGGTGAGGGAGCCTATGGTTAGAAGAAGTAGAGTCCACAGGAGGAGGGTCGCTCATCAGACAGGGTGGAGTGGGTTGCACATCACAAGCCCCCGTCTGCCGTCCGTGATCCAACCCCCACCGCTGGCTCCCATCCTCCCTTGCACGCAGGCTGTCTAAAATCCCACTTTGGGTCTGACGTTAGGAGCTCTGGGTCGTGTCTGAAACCCTGCTCCTAAGCGACTCCAAGTACCTCCTAGGAGACCATGAATCCTGGGCTTTCCCAGCAAGCAAAGAGGAATTTACTGGAAGCCAGTCACAGGCTCCCACCCAATTTCCTGATGACTAACCCCTGCACTTTGAAGGAAAATGGTGAGGTTTTAGTGGCCTGGGAAATGAGAAAAGGACTTTTAACTCCTGAGGGTGAGACTCTTTCCCTTATTACAGAGGCTAGCTGAGCTAACTACCTGCCGTCCGATAATCCAGTGACACCCACAGCTGAGGCCCTGGACTCCCTTGGCGCTGCCTGAACTCTTGTGGGATGAGTCAGGGCATGGAGGGAAAGGTTAGAACGGAGGAGGAGGGGGGGGGGGAGGCAGAGAGGGAGGGAGAAAGTCACTTTTGAGCTCAATTCCAAACCCTCCCTTTACTCTGCCCCGTTAGGAAGAAGGGGTTCCAGCCGCCTCAACATGCATGGACA